TAAAGGCTGTTTATATCAGCACTGGGCAAGAAGAATCCAAGAAGCATTGGCTAAAAATAGGTGTAGAAACAGCATTCAGACACACTCTCAGAAAATGTAGCAAGGGCTCTATCTATTTGCAGTGCAAAAACCAGTCAAGATATCTTGAAATTTGGAAGGAGTATATTATGAGGTCCAAAGAACTCAACATTATAGTGGTGAAATCTTAAAGATTTCACCACGGAAGTCCACATACAAGTGTCTTCATGATCCAATTCAGTGGAGTTTGATCCAGCTTCATTTTCCGAGATTGAAACGTTCTCTGACGAGTCTTAACCATGCAACTCTGTGCATAAAGTCCTTAAATATATAGAAATTAGTTCTTACTAAATTTATAGACTAAAGCTCACTAATCAGAGGTCTTGGGACATCAGATAGGCTGAAGCACTCGTGGGCAAAAGCAGATATATCTGTTACGATCTGAATAGCCACAGTGGTCTGAAGGAAACAGTCCTGCAAATAGTATTTGGGTTATTCTATCAGGCACTGGAGAATGGTTTTTGTTGGATGAGCAATAAAACTACAGAATGTTTGCCAAAAAACAGACCAAGGTTGTCTAGCCAACAAAGATGATTTAAAAAAAGTAATCTCTTTCCATATGGTGGAAGTTCATAGTTTCTCAGTATCACACTAACAAAAGGATGCTTCTTGAAAGTCAATATAATTTGACAGCAAATAGGTCCTTGCCAAGACAGAATCCACTAATGGTTTAAACCAATGTTCCCGTTTACTAGGAGACTTGACTAGATAAACAGAAGGAAGTATCTCACGTTTTTCATATTTGATGTCTCAGGTGACCTCTTGAAAGCCTATTAGAGTACCAAAACACTTGTCTGACTACTTTCCACCTACAAAAGAAGCATTTTGTAAACATGTTTGCAACTTTTGAGATTGAAAAGCTGAACGTTAATAACAGCAAACTTTAGGGATGAAGGCTGGACCCAGTATGAATATTCTTCTCCTTTAATGGTAACAGCTCAGACACACCTACCAGATCAAAAATCTAACAACATCTGAAGATGTATCTCCCAAGGTCAGTCCAATGATTAAGTGTCCATCTACATGATTTATTACATAAGAAATAACTTTGTACTATATCACACCAGACACATTATTCAGCATCAGCACAGAGTAAAAAAAACCCTATGTGATCCCTCTACAGAAAAAATTCAATGTAACCATTCACCAGTAACACAGCTACCCAGGTTTCGAGGCACTCATGAGCTGTGATAAAATGCAGTACAAAATGGTAGTACACCATACCTTTATACAGGCTCCAGTGAAGCTACTGATCTCCACCAGCCATTCAGCTTGCTTCAACTTGCTCTAACATTTATCAGTGATTATATTAAACAGAACAGATAGGAACTGGAATGTAAAGCAAGAAGAAAGAAAAGTTTCTACTTCTTGCAAGTCCTGAAAACACCTAACAGTGGTCTTTGTACTTGGCAGCCACGTACATGCTTGGTGGCACCTATACACCTGCAGCACTTGATCTTAGGTAAGGCAATGCTGAGTCAACACTTCTAGGATGATGGGATATATATCCATTAACTGCATACATCTGTCTCTGCTTCTTCACTCAGTTCAGACTTATCGCTTCTATGATCTTTCATGACTCTTAAGACAGAGAGTGATTCTTATTAACCAACCTGGAACATTTTCTGTGCCCCAAGATATCTGTAAAGGAACATATAATCATCTGTTTTACCCAATCTTCCAATATTTCTAATGTGCTTGCAACTGTGCAATCCAAAGCTACAATCACTAACACTGGGCAGAAGGAAGATCACCTACCATACAATATTTTGCATTACTTTTTGCACAAGGATTATTTTTTTGTTTTGTTTTGAGACAGACAATCATAAGAAGAAAAGTCTTGGTTCTTGTCTGGTTTTTTGTCTTCTAAGTAGCTGCTGTTCTTAAGCTACTATTACTTCCCCCCCCACCCCACCCTTGATAAGGAAGGCAGAGATACTTCTCCCCCACTGAAAAAAAACCCATTTTCCTTTTTCAATTAAAGCATGCTATAAAAAGACACAGCAGCACTAGAATGTGACATGCACACTCACTTAAACTAAATCCAGTAAACAAAATATACTTAGATAAATATTTTGAAGTGATTATCACCAAACATATCAATGAAATAAAATGAATCTATGTTGAAAAAAATCCCTACTATTCAGACTCCAGGAACTTTATTATAAAGCAGAAATAAAAATGTCACAAGTTGTTACAGTTTATAAACTGGAAGACTGTAGAGATTGAAAGACTACTGAAATAATCTTAAAGGACATTCAGAATTCTGCCAACACTACATTTTTGCTGCAGAAATCCTAGGTTCATGCTCTTCAAGGTGGATTTCAAGTGCTAGTGAGCAAATAGTACTAACTCAATTGGATACTGAACTGTTTGCTGTGTCAAAGCTTTTTGCCAAACACATATATATAATTTTTCTTTTCACTATATGGATAATCAACCCCAGATGGCAATTTACATAGGCAACAGCATAAAGGAATCCATGCACTGCTGGTGCTCTCAGCCTCAATCAGAGCAAGCACGGGCGTTTGAGAATGTCACTGTTTATTTTTAATTGCTGTGTCCCTCCTTTGTGCAGGTTCAAGCGGTCAAAGATGTCGAAGTCCATTAGTAGAACTGGAAGGTGATGCCACTTCATTTGGTGAGAGGGTTCCTCAAATTTAAAAAGCAGCTGGTTTGTAATGTCCCTAAATGCCCAGTGGGCACCAGCTGTCAATCTCAGTTACCACAGGGTCAGGGCAAAAAAAGGTCAGAGAGAATCATAAACCACAATGTGTTGTGAAATGTGCTTCCTCCGTTACCTTGTAGGCCTGAGAAAGGTTTGACCTTTTCTAGGTATCCTAACCCAACTCTGCACAATGCTAGCAGGGGCAAGTACAACACACAACTCAAACTTAAAAAAGTCACTTCCTTTTACTGTGCCTTGGTTTCCATACCTGTACAACATGAACATGAATATTCACAAGCTGCTAGTGGCAAAAAACCAAAAAGTAAAACTCTGCCCACCACTATTACCACTCAGAGGTATGGACACATCTTCTATTTCATACAAGGCAGTGGAAGGATTAATTTATTAACAGCAATTAAAAATAACTAAAAATTTGAAGGAAGTTGCTAATGCCATAAAAGCAAAGTGATCTGGCTTCTCTTTATCAATGACCTGTTTATCTGCTAACTTGCCCTTCACTTCACTGCTCCCCCAGTCACTTGGGAAGAAAGCATGTTTTAAAGACTCACTTAAAGCCTTTCCTACTGTTCTTTTAAACACTCATTTGCAATATGATTGGGAAGAAAGCATGTTTTAAAGACTCACTTTCCTACTGTTATTTTACACACTCATTTGCAATATTGAAGTTACTCACTATATTTTTGTCATTTTCTCCTTCATATGGATTATCAAAGAGCAGACTAATTCCTAAACTTATTTCTCCAAAACATTCTTGGACCATACATGAAGAGCTGAATAGTGATTTCCAGATATAATCTAGTCATGCATTCTTTCTTTGCAAGAAATAATTACTCTGCTCTGTCTCACCCCCATCTCCCAGGGGAAGTTTGGCCAGTGCTATGCCAAAAGGAAAGTACCGAACTAGCTCTGCAAGGCCCTTTCTGGGCAGGAGCCATCACTCATCAGCCTTGTACTCAATTACTTGTCCCTCCTTGGACCTCTTTTGCAGGAAGGCCCAGGACAGCAAGCAGGACACCACAGAAAAGGAAAGGAACAGTGGCAAGGGGAAAGCAGGAGAGGTTCAAACCAGAGCCACAATCCCAGCAGAGCATATTCCCTGCAGGAATTACAAGCATGGTTCCCAGAATGGGCTACATACTGCAAATGGGAATACAGGCAGCGAGGAGCTCTGCAGTGAAAGCAGACATGATGGGGTATGTACCACGCAAATTACTGTTATGCAGAAGACAGTATGATCTAGACAGCCACAGGCATCACAGAAGAAGCTGGTCAAAAGTTAATTGTCAGCTATCAGCAAGATATTTCAGGTGAAATCAGAATGCCTCACTTAAGTCCTTCACTTGCCCACAGTACAGGTAAAAATGAGAAAGCAGCATGTGTACTCAATGAAAGAACAAGGTCCTTATAGCAATACAACTGCTTATTCTTGGAATGTGAGTGGCTGGGTCCACTTTAAGTGGCAGTTGGAAAACGCTCCACCAGTCTTGACTCATTTTGGGTAATTTTACTAAAAAGGGAAAGTCAGAGCAGTCCAACATGTGTGAAATAGGATTCACCTGTCCCAAGCATAAATTCACTGCATTTTCTTTTAAAGGTTGAATATATTTTAAGGACATAAAATAGTAACAACAGTTAAGCAGTTCAAACGCCATTGAAAGGCCTCTTGACTTTGTACAGGCTCTCCAAAAAGCCCAACGGCAGCAAGCCACCTACTGCATCCCAGCAGCTCTCCCAGAACATGCTGACATTAATTAAAGCCCCAGCAAACAAAGAGAATGTGCATCAAGCATTTCAATGCCCTCTTCTTGTCATTTCCTTCATTTCCAGACATCTCAGGAAGTCTACCTACTCAGATTCTTTTCCAAGCCTTCTCACTGCAGCATATCCCAAATGAAAGTAACCTCACTCAAATGTTGTTCAGTCCTTGGGCACATCCTGTCTTGGAAACGTGCCCACCTTGCATTTCCAAATTTGAAAGTCTAACATGCTAATCTAGGTCAGTCTTCTCTCCTCTTTCTTCAACTAAAATTGAGCAGGTAACTTTATTGGCTGTCTTATTTAAAAATCTCTATGTCTCTTCCTATTATAAACTGACTTATAGCAGAGTACCAAAAAAAACCCACCAGACAGACATTGAAAATAATTGAATAATTTCAGATTGGAAGAGAACACTCTCCTCTTTGTTGTCTCTTTCTATCAGGAAAACCGGGGGGAGTGAAAATGAGAGACTCACCTTCAGGGCAGGGATCTCCACATTGTCACCAAGGCTAACAGAGCCAGAAAGAATAGTCCCTGTCATCACCGTGCCTTGACCCTTGATAGAGAAACAGTGGTCAACTGCCATAAGGAAGTTTCCCGAGGGGTCTCTTGATGGCAGGTGAACCTGAGACTTCAGGACCTGAAAAATAAAACATAAAAGCAGCACCATGCCTGGGTGAAAAGTCATGACAGCCATACAGCAAGAGGAAGGCAAGTGGATGATTGATTGAACAAGCTTGAAGTTTTACTGATTTCAGGCATCTTCCAACAATCTTAGAACACACCAATGTCAAATGAACTGTGTGTGCCACAGAGGAGATGCACACTTAGGAGCAAGAACAGTTCGATTTTCTGCCTTAGAAAGATTTCATGCTGCACATTTAGCTCTGTTAGCAAAACTGCACTGGCAATAAAATTGCTGCCAAACTCAATATAAACACTGCAGCAAAGAGAAAAAAAAAATCCTGTTCATCCCCACTACTTCCTCCCCCACCCCCCCAAAAAAGTGAAGTTTTACAGTACTTCAGCTTCTTTGGATTGTGTGCCTTTAACATCTGCTTTTAAGGTCAGAAACTACAGTTTAAGCCCAAATTGTAATGGCAGAACAAAGAAGAGTCTCTTACCAAGGATAGAAAGGATAATACCTTGAAGCTCAATGGCAGGACTCACACAGCATTTGCCAGCTCTTCTAATATTAGGTCTCAGTTGACAGATATCACTGCAATATGGGTATTTCCTTCAAAGGTTTTAAACCTGTGGAATAACTCAGTAAATCTACCTGGAATCAGATGAAGGCAGAACCAGGGACTTGCCTATTTCTACCTCTCTAGACATTGTTGTGGGTAGCCTGGTTCTTGCTAAGTCAATTCTAAGGCCGTACACCACATCACACCCCCATGCTCATCTCAGGCCACATGTGTCTGGGAGGCTGTTTGACATTCGGTGCTCAGCAGCTGTGTGGAACATCTTGCCCTTGTACAAGCCAGACATACCTACATTTTTGATGACTGGTGCTTCACCTTAACTTCATCAATTTACAAGTATTTTAAACCTGGTAGCATCAGAATTAGACCTTGATAAGTCTGCAAAGAATGATGCTTTTTTTTTTTTAGGACTACTTTCTGCTGCCTGCAACTAACACTGGCATCCCTCTAGGGCAGAGATGCTACTTCTCCCTAAAACTTATTCACAGAAAGGGTGACAAGCCTACTAGCAGCTACAAACTTAAGTGTCCTACTCTTTACAGTATAAGCTTCATGCCATATGACTTATCATATAACCTATTAAAAAAAATAAAAATCTAAGAATTTATTCTCTTCCCCTCAAAAAGAAAAAAAAAATCAAACAAAAAACCCACCAACACACACTGCTGGAACTAAGGATACCTGTGAAGCATCAGTTTGCTTAAAGTCTTCTCTTGTTCATATGGGTCTGATATAACATTAGTTATATAATCATCTGGATTTTTTTTTTCCAGGCCCTACCTCATTCAGGGCACGGGGTAAATCCAGGCCATGCTTTTTATCTTTCACAGATGTGCAAGGCATGCAGTAGGCAGGGCAGAGTATCACAGAGAAAGACAGTTTCATCGTGAAGGCAGGTGCTGCTCCTCTAGAGAATGGATTCTTCACTTGCTTATGCCAGAACTCCCAAGCACTGCCATTCTCTTAAAAAATGAAACTTGCCACAGGTAATCACTGGCTATATACCTCAGACTGTCCAAACAGAAACCCCAAAGCTTAACAGAAGCGCTAAGTGCTCACAACTGCAATCAAAATTGTCAGGTACTACGATCTGAACACAAGCATGTCCCAAAAGAGTTCCTAGTTTCCTTAAATTTGGCAACCAAAATTAGTAAACACAGTAGATTAAACTCCTTTGTGCCTCAGCTTCCCAATCTAAATATGGATTAAAGTCACCTCTACACTTCATATAGGCCTTCTGGAAGTAAATTAACTGTTTGCCAAGTGCTCAAGACCACAGTGGTGTGTGCCAAAGAAAAGTCCGGGAGGAAATTAATCATTTTGAATGCAGAGCAGTATTTAAATGGAGTCATGAGGCCACAAAGAGAATAACAAGAATTAAAACAAAATACAGGCTACCTGCTCCCTAGCTGAGCCCTGTTCATCCTATGAAAGGAATGAGGTTTGGGTTGTTTAGAATAAAGAATCATGCACTTAAACACTGGATCATAACATACACATGAAGGAAGGAGACAATTCCCAACATGTAACTTTTGAATGCCTGACTTCACAACTTCACTGTTTTCTTAGCTGTGGTACAATTATAAAACAACACCTACCAAGGATTTGGCACAGTCTTAAAGCTATTTTTAGTCATTATGCTTCATAATTGTTTACAACTTTAAAACCAATTTCACCACACATGACAGCTGTTTCTTAAGACATCGCTATTGAAAGGCAATGAAGCCTAGTAGCTGAAAAAGGAGATCCACTTTTGGGGCATGAAAACTCAACTTCTCCATTCACTGGAAGGAATTCCTAAAGAATCAGGTTCCTTAAAACTGACATTAATGTAGGAGCTCCTCAGCTTTAGATACTAGTACAGTCTATTCCAAAAGACTTAAAGAAAAGCTTGAGCACATTTTATGTTGTTATTATGTTCTTCAGCAGGTACCTCAATTAATTCAGAAACACCTAGCGGGTTCTCAGACTCTGGGGCTTCTGGTCCACCAGGCTTTGCTGCAACAGCAACAATAGGACACCCACAGAACCTGAAAGAGATAAAGATTCTCACCATTAGACCACAGATCTCCTACATGTGTCAACATAAAAGTAGTTCCAGGTTCATCTGTCATTGAAGGCAAGGAAACTCCCACAAATTACAATTTATCTGCTCTTCCCCCATAGTGAATAACTGAGTTTTTTTCTTGATTTACTAGCATCTGCGATACTGGACTTCACCATGAAATCTTCAATCCTGTTTAGTATTAGCTACTGATTTTACACTGTGGTAGTCAAAAGCAAGACTCCAGTTTATTTCAGAAGCAAAGGTCTGTTACCTAGTCCTATTCCAGTGGCTTTGCATTCAAGCCATTTTGCCTGGGGACAAACACTGTTTTCAACTTACATTAAAACAATTATAATCCTAGCTGTAGAGTCATAACCTTCAAAACAGGAGCCAAATGCAAGATGGCACATGATGTCTACCTGAGTCTGCAGGCAGACTGCAAGGTCTGCAGACAACAGAAAGATCTAAGTCTACTGAAATCAAAATTTATGAAACTCACAAATCTTAAAACATGCAAAGGTTCAGAGAAGAGCAGTAACTCCACAGTTGACCTCAGTTTAGCTTTTCTCCTACAATGAATTTTACTCTTAATATTCAGCAGCTTTTTCTACAAACTAAGTCAGCAGACTTAACTTTTGCTCCCTAAAATGCAACCTGGTGTTTGAATCATCTGATAGTAGCTTGTTTTGCCCTCATTTTGGAAAGGGCAAGTTAGACTAAGTCCAATTATTACTGCATTTTTGCAAAAGTCAAGTTTAGCCATGTAAAAAAATATATATACTAAACCAATGGAATAACAATCAGCAATAACACAAAAAAGTGATTGGTTCTCATAAATACTTGGATTCTTACGCAACAGATTAATATCAAAGGTAATTGTGGTCATCCTTTTGACATACACCCCCATCCCTAGATTTTAATTTCAAAAAGGGAGTGAACTGGAAGAAAAAGACAGTGCCTCGGTAAAGAAAAAAAAATGTGAAGTTCTAGAGAAGAAGCTCATCTAGTGACTAAACAGTAAGCAAGCATATAAGGTATCTTCTTTGCTTATATGCCATAAATCTGAGGCATCTAGAGACAAAGGGTAGTAAAAACATGCACTGAAAATTCCCATGATCAACCATAAAACTTTTGGAAATTTAATTTTCATACAAATACTTTAGGACACTGTATTGCAATAAATACAAGTTTATGGCAAACCAGGTGCTTTACTCCTTTTCCCATATATCAGAACAAACTGGAATAATCATATACTGCCCTTGGAGGCACTTCTAAACATGATTCAGCCCCACTAAAACTTTTACTCCAGCACATTGATTTATTGTCATCAGAGTTTAGACCCTGTTGGACAAAGATAAAAGCTGGCATATGCAAAAAAAATACGAAAAAAATAGAAGTTTCATTCATAGGGACAGTTTGCTTCTACTTTTGGTATCAATCCATGGAACAAGCAAGTTTCAGTTAGGTTAAATTTATAAGTGTCAAACTATTCAAATGTACAACAGCTGATTCCCTCTGACAATTTTTTTCCACCTTCCATGGTATCTCCTGACAACACTATAATTACTTCCCCAGTGGCAACACCTCTATAGCTGCAACAGACTTCAGATTTGCTTACTGCTATGGAACTGAGCATGCATGCCTGTGTGTAGAGAAATAACAATCAAAATAAACTATTCCTGGAAAAATGCTCATTGCCAAGTGGTTGGTGTCAGAGGCAGCTGTCAAATGGTCTCAGTATATGCTCTGCTAATAAGAGTTGTTCAGAAATACAAAAACAGCTAAAACACATGCATTTGGAAATTCAAAATCAGGTTGGAAAGAGGCTGTTGAGAAACACCACACGCCTAAGATACAATTGGACAAGCACTTTTCACTTAAGCCCAGGTCAGCAGTGCTGTCAGAGCCCCATAAAGCACAGAGTGCACATGCAAAAAACAATTTTTGTTATGAGAAAAATGCACAGACATATCCAATAAAAGAGCATTTCTAAGATTCAGAGTTCAAAAGAGTAATTAAAACATTATGACAAGACCATTCCTCTCCAGGTGTTGTGATCAGTTGATACACATCCTTGTTTTAAAAGGGAGATAGAGGTAAGGACCTCACAGTTACCTTCTCAACTGTTTAAAAAAACCTCACTTCCCCTTCAGTTTTTGACAAAGTCTGCTAATTTTTGAGACATGCTGTAAAGACCCATCTATGCTCCAGGATATAAAGAGAAGATTTAAGTCAAGCAGTGTACACAAAAAGTACTTCTGAATACCAGTTTCCTTACAAAAATTTGTCTTCCTTTTATGAATATGCAACCAGAAATGTCTTTTTTCCCCAATCATTTGCAATACAATCTTGGAGTAAACCAAGAATGAAGTACCACCTGCAGCAGCAATTACTGCTATTCAAGAAGAATAAACAAATTTTAAAAGAAGGACAAAATAAAACTGAGCAGCATGTTAAGACAAACTCTCTTAAAAATCATTAACTTTGTAGCATAGGTGAGAAACAGATAAAAAATAACTATTAATTGTAATACTGCTTAATTCATATTCTATGTATCAACCTTTCAAATAAACAAATAAAATCATTAGAAACCCATTAGATAATTATCTCTAAAATTTTCTTAACTTTATTATCTCAATGCTATCCCCACAGGGATTACCTGTGAATCTGATCAACAAACTCAGAGCTACAAGGAATTATTGATCCAAAATGCTTTGATATTGCAGGTGTCTCCTTTCTCTATCTCTCTTAAAACAAGTGACAGCAACATACAAAGAAAACCAAGCCATCCTGTATTCGTTTGCCCTTAAATCAACAGCTGCCAGAGAAAAATTGAAAGTTGTAGGATTCCAAATTCACAAGAAAGAATTTCACTTTCTTGGTGACCTCTATACCATTCCCACAACAGTGAATGGACCCAAGAACACAGGAGCTGGAAAGACTCCAACATCTTTGTAGTCACTACTGTGGCAGTTGTACAGCTGAAAAGGGACACTGCCCTACCATCACAAATAAGCTAAGCAGGAACTGCCATATCCAACCATGCTCTGCTTTTTTTTGGTCCTGGTGAAATTCTCTCCTCTGTACATTAAATCCTATTCCTTTGATTTTTCAAATCAAAATGTGGCCTAACAGTTATAATGTGGGAGTCAATGTTCCCTTCTGACCCTGGGCAGAGCAAGCTGGGCTTCAGTTTGTGTAACCACTAAATAAATATTGTGTCTGTATTGTATCTTCCCACTTCAAACAGCCACATTTCCGCTCATGAATCTCACTGCACGTCACTCATTATGGACCTTAATTAGTTTACCTAAACAGGACTGACAAACATCATCCCAGCCAGAGCCACATTACACCATATAAACTTCCATCATTCTGCTCTCTTGGGGCAACTGCATTTTTGACCCTCAGTTAAGGAAAAGCCCTAACATCTCCTTTTCTCTGGAGTGGAAAAGACTGGCAGATCACAACAAAAGTTGCAAGCTCACAAACTAAAATAACCCCCCACCACCAAAAAAAACAAACCCCAAAAAACCCACACAAACAAACCAACACCCCCTCCCCACCCAAAAAAAAAAAAACCCTACCCAACAAACAGGAAAAAAACCCAAACAATCTCTCCCATACATACACCGCCACCACCACCAGCCCCCCAGCAGTTCCTCACCTGGCTATCCTGGCTTTGTTTTATCCAATCTGAACTCTAAGCAGCCCTTTAAACTGAAAAGCTTCATTATAGAAAAATATTTCTCTACACATGATACCTGCAGATACAAATTCAGGACTGCATTTGAGTTTCTGGTAATCCTTCTACTCTCTGATCATCTTTGCTAGACATCTCAGCATGTTTAGAAGCACGTTGGAAGGGAAATGTGGGTGAAGTATATTTGTTAAACATTTTGTTGTTACAAGTTAACCATTAACATTGCTGTTAACTTACTTAGTATTTTCCAAGGTCTTCTGCATTTTCTTAGTCATCTTCTCAATGGCACTTTGTCTCTTCCCCTCTGGAAGGAGATCTATTTTGTTCAGAACTACCACCATCTTCTGGCAGGCAATTTGCCCAATTACCAAGCACTCTGCTGACTGTGTCTGCATCCCTTTTGTCACATCTATTACAAGCATCATCAAATCAATAATCTGGGCACCTAGAGGAGAATTCACAATCAGTATTGCAGCAGCATAAAAAGATTAAGCATCATTTTCTCAATCAGTTTACATAAAAGCTGTCAGTATATGTACAAAGGCCCAGAAATATGAACAAAACACAAGTCACAGTAAGCACTGAATGCACAGCTGTGTTTGAAAATAAGACTTCAGGAACTTAAGCTGCGTGATAGTTTAAGAAGTATGTAACAGTTTATATATATTTATATATACTGAAGAAGTATGTGATATTCCTCCATATTAATGGTTCCAGTTTAAGGATTTTATCACTGCACTAAAAATAAATTAAGTTACCCCTGCAGCAACACAAGCATGACATTTGCCTCAATTAAAAAAAAAATTATCTAAGACACTAAGCAAGAATATGGCACAGCCAAAGGAACACACAGCAACGCTGCAGACAGTGGCATACTCAGAGCAAGCCCAATAAAAGCCAACTACCTGTCACAGAACTACGTCTGCAATGCTCAGTCTCCAACTGCTTCCCAACATTTCTTCTTTCAGAGTCCAAAATTTGATAAAAGCGAAAACAAGACAACCACCACCAAAGGTGGGTTTACCCCAAGTCTAAACAAATCCCTACAATCCCTTAACGTGAGGAAGAGGTGATTTAAACCCTGCAATATATTGTCACTCACTCCCGAGTCAGATCTACACAACCTGAATATGCACTTGATACACAGCCACAAACAGATCTGATTCTTAGACCTCTTCAAGAAAAAGTTCCTAAATTTTAAGCTGAAGTTACCTACCATGCTTCTGGATTATTTTTATTTTTCAAAGTATTGTTGTCATGAACCCTTAATCTTTTGATTGAAGCAACCTGAATTTCATGGATTTAAATTAGTTTTCAAAGAAGCTTTTGAGGAATGTTGGGTCTTCCAATAATTACATTCAGAATTTTCCTGTCTCATTACAGGTAACTGAAATACTCTGAATACCAAAAAGAGTAAGGTTTAAAAAACTTTAGTGCTAAGAAAGTTTAAACATAAAACACTAAAAAAATAAATCTAAAGGTAAAGTACCAGAAAGTCGTATATCAAAAAACACATTTGGAAAGATGATAGAAGCTAGAAATCATGCAAAATTGTAACATTCTCAGTTTAAGTACTTTTAATATTTGCCTTAAGCTTTTGATCAGAAGAACAATAAATTGATACAACTGTTCCTTGTTCCTTCACCCTCTCCAACCTTTCCCCCCCACTTTTTTTTCCCTTCTTTCCTCTTTTTTAAGCTTTTACAGTGGCTATGACAAGAGCTACCCTTGTTCACAATTCCCATGAACTCAGGATAGGAAATCATTCTGAGGTTGAAGTGCATGGGTGAATGAGTGGGTGGGAGCTACAACAAGAAAAAAAAATTGGTTACAAATGACTATTTTCAACCTACCAAAGCTTTCATCTTGTAATAATGAATGCTAAACCCTTCAGAGTGCTAGTTGGATAATTATGACATTTCCAATGCTCTTGCAGAATTCTCACCAATCATTTCAAATACCTCTCAATGACAAATTGAAGATAGATTTTATATCTTCAAAAGTGCTCTTAATTTTTATTGTTTCAAGAATTGTATTTATTTAGAATTTGCTTAAATTATAACACAAGCATCATCAAGGATGTACAAAATGCTCAGACTTTACACACCACACAGAAGTGCAGACCTAAAGGACAGGAAGCAAGTAGAATGGACAGCGTAAAAATAGTTCCAGTGAGACAAAGCACTTCACCAGAATGCAGGCAGTTTTGTAAGTACATACAGCTTTTTAATTTAATACAGCATCCATATTCTGTGTTAAACTATACTGCACAGTAATTCTTAATATACAGGTGACATCCTTAAAAGGAATGGGAATTAACAATTAAAATGTAGGTGACAACCTTAAAATGAATGGGAATTAACAATTAAAATATAGGTGACAACCTTAAAATGAATGGGAATTAACAATTAAAACCAAACTATCAAGTCAAATTGATTACTAATACTATAAAAAGTGTAGCTAGTAAAGTAACAATGCTGCAGCTTAAGTTTTAGCTAATTCTGTTATGACTGTTAGAGCACGGCAGTCCTTATGCTCCGGAATTAAGCAACCAGATCCAAATATGGCCTTGAAAAGCATGGCTGATAAGATGCATTATATATGGTGTGGAATCTCTTCCCTCCAACAGGAGACAAAATCTGCACCAGAACTGTTATATGCAGTTTCAAGTACAAGGGCCACTTTATCTTGAAACACTAAATCAACTGCTATGAATACATTTGTTGTAAAGCAAATGCTTGTAATTGCTGTATTTATGAATCTATTAGCAATACTTTAAAAGAGCCATAAAAATCATCAGCCCAGTTGCTAGAAGGTCAAGAATGTCTGCCTTGGGGCATTTCATAGCAAAGAGAGAATAAAAGAAGAAAAATAACTGTACAGTCCATGGAAGAACTCTAGAAACACCAGAAAATATATCACAACACTCCAGACAAAAATATATTACAACTCAAGGAAATGGCAGCACATCCAAGTTCACAAATATGAGCCTCAGTACAATTATCATGCCTTCTCCAAAGCCCTAACGTGTTAACTGGCCACAGTTCATGAGAGATGCTGCAAGATGGAACAGGAAGCATGGCAGGGGGAGAGCTAGCACCCAGGCAGGGTGGGAAGCTGCTGCCCTTCAACAGAGTCATGGAACCAAGGGAAAGATCAGGACAGCATTGACAGAAACACTTCAACCACATTCTCCTCAAGGCATGAGGATGTTTTGCACACATCTACTCACGCATATCAAGATATGAATGCTCAAGTTCACAGGACCCTTGAGTAACAAGGCAAAAAAAAACAGTGCTGAGAATTAGTTCCTCAACTTCCCTTTGAGCTGTTCAATGAACCAACTCTGACAATTCGCCTTCTTCCCAATCCCTCAGTCTTCTAGAGAGTTTTACATTTTGTTTTAATTCTAGAACCCATTTCTTTGGGTGCCTTTCATCCATGCATAACAGTTAATTAAATACTAAAATGAAGTAACCTAGGGAAGTCAAACAAAGTGCACAGGGATTCACAAATGTAACGTTTCTAATCAGGAAGGTTGGCAGGTCACTTGTAACAAGGTGACAAAACTGTCATAGCATATAAATAGTAATCGCAGAGTTACAATATGCTTAACTTAATATTCACTATTTAAATAATCTCTGTCACACCAGTAATCAATCAACTCACTACCACGTTAGATTTCAGTCAACAAAAGGAACAACACTCCTGAAGAATTTTCTACAGCAGAGCAAAATTTAACTAGGAAAGGCAACATAAGGATGGATTGTAAGACTATAGTGATGTATGAAATCTCACTTGGAAAGACCTTTTATTTGAGGCATAAAAATATTACAACCATACCAAGACTACAAAAATGGTAAAAAAACCAAAACAAGGTGATGATATCACTCAAAGTGGCACTGTGACTACAGAATGCCTGCCACGGGAACAAAAAAAAGAACTGAAACATTTTTTTGCTCAAAAGGAAACATGATATTGTCCTACAGGGCTAAGAAGAGTGATATGGAAGAGATGGGTGCTCCTCAAACCCTTCAGGCAGGCAAATGGCTTGAAATGACTCTGAAGAAAGCAGAGAGGTGCAAAGGACAGGTCTGTGTATAATGAAGCAAAGCAATCAAGAAAAATACTTTATCTGCATTGAAACTGGTCAAATAGAATCAATTATAAGGTTAAACTAAGGTATTCAAAGCATTTTCTTTTAAAAGACAGAAGTGTAAACTTTTATTTGCTGTTTCATCTATGAAAGAGATGTTCAAGACCGTTCAGAAAGATAGAGCCCTCCAGACATGCCACTTCTCACTTTGCTTGAAAATGAAAGATCAACTATCAGTGTCTCCTTCGTGTGATGACATACAGCTCAGATGTAGCCCTGTAAAAAGCAAATGAAAAACTAGTTGTCATCAGAAAACACAAGGGGGTGGAGAAAGATGGGAATTACATTGCAAGACAAGCAGCTAAACCACAGCAAAAACACGAAGTAGATAGTCTGAGTGAAGAAAAACAAACAAGAACAATAACACACGAACAGGGAGAATCTGGATGACAGCCAGATACAGGGAAAATGCAGTAAGACCAGCAGCAAAGCATGGCAGAGAAAAGACTGCAAGAGTCAGCAGTACTCATTGGTACCACAAAAGTGACAGGGAACACAGAACTCGGATATAAAGATAAATACTTTCACACAGAAGAGAAAGAAAAAGTCTGGTCCCTACTTTGAACAAATCACATCCAACCCACTCTTGCTTCTGAATTTTGGGGGTATCTGATTATGAACAGTCATCAGGGAAGTAATTTATTGCTCTTTACTCACAGGACTAGTTGAATCAGAGATGTCAGATTATAACAAGTTTCAAAAGCAGCAACTCAGTTTCCCTGAACTGGCATCAACTCCATTTCACCAAGGGAAGGGCAAAACGATACCACTTGTATCACATCATTCGTAGCTCTCACTCTTGATCCTGAAAGAACTCACCAAGCTTCTGGCTGAGTACACTGAAGAAATACAGATGACCCAGAAGAACAGTATGCATTTTTAAAAAGTACTTACTGAGAACTTCTAATCTTCACAAGAAAATTCATTGCATTCTCTGAATTTATGTTATTTAAGACATAACTTCAAACCTTTACTGCAATAGGAAGAAAGGCCTACCCACAGTTAGAATCAGGGAATCGTTTGGTTGGAAAAGACCTTTGAGATCATCAAGTCCAACTGTAACTGCCTACTACTAAACCATACCTCCGAGAACCTCATCTACTCATCTTTTAAATACCTCCAGGGATGACAACTCAACCACCTCCCATTCCATTGCCTGATAACCCTTTCAGTGAATAATTTTTTCCTGATATCCAATCTGTACCTCCCTTGGCACAACTTGAGGCCATTTCTTCTTGTTCTGTCACTAGTTATCTGGGAGAAAAGACACACACCCGCCTCACCTGTAAATGTGTTAAGTACCATGACACCAACCTTTGATTTCCATACAGCTTATATCAGTAAAGCACACTTGATTTTGCTCACTGAAGCTTACGTAGACAAGCTCTGCAATGTTTACATGCTACTGTCTCACATCCTTACACAAAAGCACACAATTAGTAAAACCAGATCTGTCATATCAGTATTCACAAGGAAATACCATCTAAGTGCCCAACCTACATGCTGAGTTTTTAAAACCTAAAGCACTATAATTGCCATGTTTATTTTGTAACAGAGCATTACATCTTAAATAACAAAACTCCTTCAACCTTGGACACGAAAGTTGTTGCAGTTCTGTATGTACATGAATTCAAAACACCTTATATTTGTGCAACCTGTTGCACACTTTCAAATTATATATCCAAACTCCCAGACTGAGCTGCATCTGGATGAGCTGTACAGCAAAGCACAACACTTACAGTAAGTTAAAGAGAGCATTATTAGGTCTAGGGAAAAAAAAAAAACAACCAAACAAGAAAATCCCCAAAAAACCAAACCAACCTACACACAGAAGCATTTTGGCCTCTCATATTACTTTATCAGTTCCAAAAGGTTATTACTATTTTATTATATGTGCACTGTGCCCAATTTCAGAATCATTGCTATGAACTCCAAGCACTAAACTAGCTAGCAATTTCATCCTTACTGAAAACAAAAACCAAAAGGTATTTTCAACAAATATGCAGAGTCTCAATTGTTTTCTCTCAAACAAATGCATATGAAGAACATTAGAGTATTTACAAGTACTTCTACTTTGGCAAGCATCAGTTTAGTATTGCATTAGATTCCCCATAACCTATCAATATAAAGCTGACTTGGCTCCAAAGGAGTAAAACCTGGGCTAGTGGAGGGAAGAAGATGGAGTCAAGTCCTTGTGTGAACAAGGGGGAGGTTTTGCACATCATGCAAGCACAGATTCTGACTCGTGACTTCTTCAGGCTACTGTGTCCTATCCTGTTTGTGGTAATCTTTTTAGCTGACTTTGCACAAACAGTACAACTCTCCTGTTCACAGGCACTGAAAGGAAGCAGAAAATGGAATTTGAAATGTAAAAATAAAATAATTGTGGGCCATGGGCTATAATTTGATTTCATGCTTTATGAGGAAATGAAAGAGGACTTCCTTAAACATACTTTTTTTTTTTTTAAATATGCTTTTTACCATGTTAGGATTTCCTCCAGCGCAGAAGAGAAAATAGGATTGTAGAAAATGCACTGTTCTCAAGTATCATTGCCACTCAGGGGCAAAGCTCTGTTTTAATGTGCACTTCCCATTCTGGGGAAGAGGAAATTCTTCAATTAATAAACCGGGTGGACTGAGGCGAGTTTTTAAGGTTTAATCAATTTCATCTGCACATAGGATAAAAAGACTGACTATTCTACCATTTCTGCCTCCCCTATTCCCCTTTCAAAAAAAAAAATCAAAAAAAAAAAATCAATGTTTTATTTTAAATTCTTTGAGGTTAGTATCTCCTGTCTCAGGAAATATTGTCTATATCATGCAGTGAGTATGAAACTTCCCCCTTCCCAGCCCCCTCCTCTTTTTTTTGTTAAGAATCTTTATTCAGAAATAACTAAATTATTCTCTGCTTTCATATACAGGGACACCTTGGGAGATGCTACAAGTCACACAGGATTTTGCTAGGTACCTTAGGGGAGGCATTGTGATGAATAAGGAAGATGTTTTACAGGATAGGAAATCTCCCAAAATTTAAACAGAAATAGGAGGTGTGAGAGAGACGCACACACAACTGGAGCACATGAATTACACATGAAGAAACCCTCTGTAAAGCAATGCAAATCATGGATCACAACTCATACCACAACCGTCATTAGGAAACACTTTGAGGAGAACAGGAACTCATGGAGTTCTAGCATCCCACCACCATTTCCCAGGCATGCTGTTCCTAACAATTTCAGCATCTGCAAGCACAACCAGGGAGCTGTGCAGCTTCAAACTCTGGATAGCTTGGAATATCTCTGATAGCGAGGGTCAGACTGGCAATCCACAGGACTTTTCTCTGAATGCACAGTAAAGCTTAGAATTACACGCATTATATTTGATTTCTGAACAATAAAGCAAGCGCTGGTTGCACAAATTCCCTTTAAATGAAAACCAGCCACAGCAGTCTTTCCTAAACCGAGAGCTACAAAGAGAAAGCAGGATGACCATAAGGGCATAATTCCAAGAAGTTCACTTCCTATATGTCAAATACCCTGTTTTCCACAGTTATTAATTTGCAATCCTGAGTTCAACTCAACTACAAAAAGTGATGGAAATAGATAATTGCTAATAAGAAATAAAAGGTTTTTTTGCAAAAGATCTTGCACAAGAATCCACTCAGAATATATTTTATACCTCGTCTCCCAGATGAAACTGTGTCCAATGTTGTCCTGAAGAGGATAAAGACAA